TTAACTGCACTGGCTAAAACCTGCAACACAATATCCAATAGCAGTGGTGCTAGTGGGCTTCACTGTCACGTTCCTAATTGTAGTAGCAACACCTCTAGTCTTTCCTATTAAAGATGAAGGTAAAGGCTGGGCTGAAAGGATGGTATGTGGCCTGTTGTTGTTGTTATGTGCCGTCGAGTCGGACCCGACTCATAGTGACCCAACCTTGGGTTTCCAAGGCAGTATCACAACAGAAGTAGACTGCCTCATCTTCCTTCCGAGGAGTGGCTGGTGGGTTTGAACCGCCAGCCTTCTGGTTAGCAGTCAAGTGCCTTAGGCACTATGCTACCAGATCTCCTGATAGGTACCCTAGTAGGGACTTATCTAGGAGCTTTGGTGGCGCAATGCCTAAGGCATTTGACTGCTAACCACAAGGCTTGTAGTTCAAACCCACCAGCCACTCCTTGGAAGACTGGGCAATCTACTTCTGTAGAGATACTGCCTCAGAAACCCAAGGAGGGGTTGCTGTGAGTTGGTATCGACTCGAAAGCAGTGAGTTTGGTTTTTGGTTATAGACTTATCTAAGGAGTTCTGGTGGTGCAGTGCCTAAAGCATTTGACTATTAACCAGAAGGTTGGAAGTTCAAACCTACCAGCCACTCCGTGGAAGGAAGACGGAGCAATCTACTTCTGTAAAGATTTACTGCCTCAGAAACCCAGTGGGGTCACTATGCGTCGGAACCAATTTGATGGCAGTGAGTTTGGTTTGGTTTTGAGGGACTTATCTATTAACTATATATTTTAAGTATTTTTATGAATCTGGCCTTTGGATTTTGTTGGGTACCTTTCCTAACTATGGAAATGATGGAAGGATTTTTCTTCATTATAAGAGTAATGTATATTAATAGGTTTTCTATTATTAAATCATCTTTGATTTTTGGAATAAATTTTACTTGGTCTTGGAAATTTTTGTCACATTTTGTTACACTGACTTCACACAAATAATTTGCAACTTTTCAGTTATACTCTGAAGTTTTCATAGCATTTGAATTACCTAATTTTTTAAATGTTTAGAATTTTCTTATGAAACTGAACGTGGTGCTCTATCATGGAAAAATTCACTGCCGTCGAGTCAGTGACCCTCCTTGGGTTTCCAAGGTGGTATCACTACAGAAGTAGATTGCGCCATCTTCCTTCCGAGGAGTGGCTGGTGGCTTTGAATCACCAACCTTCTGGTTAGTAATCAGATGCCTTAGGCATTATGCTACCAGAGCGCCTTCCTAATGTGTGTGGGGGGGTCAGTGCTTTTGTTTAACAATTTCCATTTTCTCTATGGAAACTGGTTTATTTATTTTTTAGAAAACTTCTAGTTATTAATTATTCCACATTTTCGATTTTTCAGTCCCTATTTTCTAAGTTATATTAATATCTCCTATTTTCCTTTGGCTGGTTGTTTGTCAACTTTTGAGTCAGAAGCTGAATTGATTTTCACTCTTTCAGGGTTATACATATCCTCAGAGCACGGATTTTCTCCTGAGCATCACTTCAGCTTATGCCATGGATTCTGATACGTAGTGTTTTCTAGAAAAATTATGCTACTTTAATTTGTATTTCTTCAATGATTGGAGGCTCTTAGTAGTTTTAAAATTTCCAGGAGTAAGAAACTTTTATTTTATGATTTCATTATTAATTTTTCGTTTTATTTTGTTGAAATAAAATATTTTATCACTGCTATTTTTAGAATCTATTGAGTCTTTGTTGCATACAAAAAAAAAAAAAAAAAAACCTCACTGCCATCTAGTCGATTCCAACTCACAGCAACCCCCACTGGGTTTCTGAGGCAGTAAATCTTTACAGAAGTAAACTGCCCCCGTACTCCTGCAGAGCCACTGGTGGGTTTGAACCACTGACCTTCTGGTTAGCAGTCAAATGCCTTAGGCACTGAACCACCAGAGCCCCTTACTTTGTTGCACAGCACGTATTAAATTTAGTTGAATCATGCAAAGACAGATTATCACAGTAGAAAGCAGCTATGATCTTAGTAACTTTCTCACCGAGAACTGGTTTAAGCCTTCTACATTTTCAGATGATTCACTTGACGCATCTTGGACAGAGACGCGCATTCTCTGATCTCCCAAGTCAAGGACTCTGCTTTGATTCCTGCCTTTATACTCTTCCCTTGGCAAAATGACCAAATGTTGTTATTTCAACTACCACCCACATGCCAACAACTCAGAAAACTGTACTCTCTTACATCTGAAGTCGTCTCCAACTTCCAACTAACCAGAGGACAATTTTTATTTTCTGCCATGAATTCAGTCTCATATAAAATCTAATCCACGTTCTTCCAAACTCTGCTTCTGGGTCCAAGCCTTCTCTTGACCTGTGATTACTCATTACAGCTACAACAATTCTAAATTGACTTGACTTACAGATTGGAGGCTCATAGAGGGCAGGTATGGAGCAGGGCACACCCTTGAAACCTGCTGAATAGCAACTCCAGAACCCAACCTGGTCCAGGGAATGAACACACCCACCTTCGTGAATTGTCAGCTTCAGGGACTGGGGGAGGGGTGGTAAGGACTGGTACTCAAGGCCCCAAGGTGCATGGCCAAACATTCCGGGAGTTGGCAACATACCCACCAACCAGTCATCCAAATAAATGCTAGCTTTGGCCAAGACTCGAAAACAAACCAGGACGATCAATCTGCTCTTTCTCTGTTTTTCTATAAAATAAATATCAAGAAAGTATTACACAGAAGAAACTGTGGGAAATTAACTAGGTTCATTATACACCATTCCCATCACCATATCAATCTTGGAGGAAGTACAGCCAGGACGCTCTTTAGAAGCAAGGATAGTATGACTTCATCTTAAGTACTTTGGACCTGTCATGGGGAGGGACCAATCACTGGCGAAGTACATCGTGCTGGTAAAGTAATGGGTCAGCAAAAAAGATGGAGCTGCTTAGTAAGACGGACACAGTGGCTGCAACAATGAGTTCACACACAGCGTGACTTGAGGATTGCACAGGACTGGGCAGAGTTCCGTTCGGTTATACCCTAGGTCACCGAGTTGGAGTTAACGCAATAGCACCTAACACACAGTATACGCACACACGTCCTAAGCACACAGTATAGTACAACCGTAGAGTTCATTAGTCATTATGGATCGTGCCCGCCTCACGCCAACTCCCAAAACCTCTCTCTGCTCCACTCAGGTGCAAGAGCAAATGGTCCTGAAGGTAAGGGAAAGAGAATCAGGGACCCAGCAAATATGTTTTGTAGGGTTCCTGCCTCTGGAACAGCACATACTCCCAGAGAAAGGGAGCAGCTGGTAGGAAGCTGGGGCTGCTGTCAAATCATTTCTACATAGATGAGGGGCACATGGGGACAATCATCAGGAAACCAGTACAAATCAAGAAATGTGTTGTGTATCCTCCATGTTTTAAAACATGTTGGTCAACTCGGCCAAGCCATGGCAGTTATGTAATCATGCAATCACCACATGACATGATCTGATGTGATCAGCCAATCAGATGTAAGGGGATTTGGGTGGAATGAAACACTGTTATTCAGGTCACAGCCCTGATCCAGTGCAAGGGGAGCTTCCCTGGAGTGTGGCCTGCATCACCTCTTACCTTATAAGAGTTAAAAGGAGAAGCAGAGAGAGGGACCTGACTACCAAAAAAGAAGAACTAGGAATGGAGTGCATGCACTGAAGCCAGAGTCCCTGCACTGAGAACCTCCCAGACCCAGGGAAAGACTAATGCCAAGATCCTTAGGCTCTCCAAGGAATGCTAGGCCCACAGATGTTGAAAGGAGACAAGAACCTTCCCTGAGAGCTGACTGAGAAAACCTTCCTAGAGAAAACCTTCCTCTAGAGCCGGCACCCTGAATTCAGACTTCCAGCCTCCTAAACTGTGAGAGAATAAATTCCTGTTTGTAAAGGCCACCCAACTGTGATATTTCTGTTATAGCAGCGCGAGATGACAAGACAGCCCCATCCACCAATGATACAGGACGTCACTGACGAAAATTAAGAGAAATGGAGCAAGGAGGCAGTATAGCTCTGGGCCACGACTAGGAGCTCTGAGGTCCCTGCACGCTACTTACTGCTTTGTGACCTATAGCAAATTTCTTAACCTCTCTCTGCTTCAGTTCCCCGCTCGGTAAAATAGGAGTAATTCCTATATCCCACAGCACTATTTCAAACATTACATGAGATGACAAATGCATGCAAAATACTCAAACTAGCGCTTGACACGTTATGACACTGAAGTATGTAACTGTTCGATATTGTTTGCATCAATGTTGTTGCTGTTGTTATGTGCCATTGAGTGAATATAGTGGGATGTACAGTCACTTATACCAGTATGTTCCACAGTTCTTCAACACAAAAAAATGGCCTAAAAGACTTATGTGTCTAATGAAAAAACTAATTTAAAATTTACCTCTTGTGAAAGGAGCACTGGATCCCGAAAACAGGTTCAGAAACAGTGTGCCCACATTTTCCACCTGAGTATTTGACCCTCGTATGTTAGCCTATCAGACAAGCCTATCAGACAACAATAGTACATCAACAAGTCCAGTTTACCAAGAGAAGGCTCCTCTCCTCTCTCACCCCCATGATATGGGAAAAAAAGCCACCACAGCTAGGCCAGGCTCCACCACACGAGGTAAAACGTGTGTGCATGTGCGCACACATGTGCTTCTTGCTGTTGTTGTTGTTATGTGCCATTGAGTTGGACCCGACGCATAACAACCCCTCCTTGGGTTTCCAATGCGGTATCACTACAGAAGTATATTGCCCAACCTTAACCTTCCTTCCGAGTAGTGGCTGGTGGGTTTGAACCGCCAGCCTTCTGGTCAGCAGTCAAGTGCCTTAGGCACTACACTACCAGAGCTCCTACACATGTGCTTAGCAGGTGTGAAAAGTGCCTCAAAAGCTCAAGGATGATGGAGAAGGACATGCATTTCCCACAGCATACAATTCAAATACACGAGAGACTTGATTTCTTACCCAGGAGCACCATCTCCCCGACGTTACATTCTTCATTCTCTGAGGTGGGCTGTTGGGAAGGATCCAGGCTCACACATTCCTCTTGGGAGTGAAATACATTCAAATCCTCAAAGACCAGCAGCTCCTGAAAAAGCAACAGGAGGCTCCTTGACAGCCCCGCTGGGAAGGCAGACTAGGATGCAAAGACCAAGGGAAGGGGCACAGGGACAGGGAAAGAACTCCCCAAATATCACACAGACACAGCACACCCAGGAGGACGCCAGGCTCAGAGTGGAGCCAACGGGAAAAAGATCAGGAGAAAATGTCCAAGGGGCAGTAAAGAACTTGCCCTCTCTTTTTACTGACTCTCAAGATGTGTTTTATGGGTTGGCTGAGTAGAAAAGAAGCAAGAGCAGAGACGGTGAGTCACTCAGACAGGAAAAGGATAAACCAAACCTACCTTGGGCTCAGCTTTGGAACACAGAGATACTGTCTCCTGTTTCTGTTGGGCTCCTTCTCTGGGTAGAAGACTCACTAACGGATGAGGTTGCACTGGGGGAAGAGGAAGCTATAGTTAGTGAATGAGTCATTGACTCTAATGTGGGGGGAGGGAACTGAACCCGTATACTCTGGCCAGGCTGACCTTGTTCCTTGTGCATGCAATCCAAGGCCATGTCTGTTCCTCAGCACAGAGGCCAGGATCAAGGACCCCAGGTCTCAAACCTACCTAAGGTCTCCTCATTCCAAAAGAAATAATTCTCTGAATCACTTTTCAAAATTTCCCACAGAAATGCTATTAAAGGGGAGGTGGGGGGGGGGGTCAGCAAAATCTGAAAAAGCCCACAGCAGGCATTTCTGAAATTCCCCATAAACTAGAGTCAATGTGATAATCCATCCACATTTCTTTATCCTAAAAAGATACTTCCCCAAAAAATGTTAGAACACACATGACGTCGTACCTCACTGACCTATGCCTTTACATACCCAGCACATCACCGTCTGCTCCAATTTAAGAAGAACATGTTTCCTCCTCCTAACATGTTTATGCGGAGCTCTGGTGGTGCAGTGCCGAAGGCATCTGACTGCTAACCAGAAGGCTGGTGGTTCAAACCCACCAGCCACTCCTCGGAAGGAAGACTGGGCAATCTACTTCCATAGCAGTACCTCCTCAGAAACCCGAGGAGGAGTCACTAGGAGTCAGAAACAACTTCATGGCAGTGAGTTTGGTTTGGTTTGGAATGTATTTATGTAACAGAATTAATTCCTTTTCCAATGCCCACAAGCCTTACTCGAATCCGTTACTAATGATAATGGAAGCCTACCTCAGCCGTCAGTACTGTCCCCTTCACTCCAAGTGAAACAACATCGGCTTCTCACCTTTATTGTGAAGGCCTGAGCTCACATCCTTCATAATAACTAAGGTCTCCTTGGCTTTCTGACTGGGCGGAACCACACTTGGCTTGGGCAAGAAGGTGAGGAAGTGCTCCAGCACCAGTTGGTGGATGGTCTTGGGTCCACTAGTGGCATCCCGAAGTAGATCTTGGCCCAGCTTGGAATTTGGAGGAACTCTCAGTATAAAAGACTGCTTTGGCTTTGGCGGCATGGAGACCACTTTTGCAGCCATTGTACCTTGCAACCACACTTGTTTCTGTTACTTCAATGAGCGCTTCTTACTGAAGAAAACCTGCCAGATAACCAAGCTGCAGACAAGAGAAACCATGGGTTAGCCACTAAACCAGGCAGGGCATGACTGCATCCCAATGCGTGACTTGGATAGTGAGGCCAGGTGAGAGCTAATTAAGAAAAAGAACAGACGTGGGAAAATCAAGACAGAAATATAAAGTCTCTGAACAAGATTCTCTTAGCAACAGAAGATCCTGAGAATGAAAGGGGATGTCCAAACCCGAAGGTCAGAAGCGAAGGCATCCGGCTTTCCAACGGCCATCTTCCTAGGAAATACGATATACGATGGGCAAAACCCATTGAGAAGTTTAACTCACGCTGGTAGTCGAAGTGTGAGCTGGAAGAAAGAAAATCTGAGGTCCGAAAGCAAGAATATCCGCTCAGAAATCAGGCTGGCCATTGAATAGGGCCAAATGGTCCCCCAGGGGTCGCAGCTCCTTCGCGTGTTCATCTGTGGGGTTTGACTCTCCAAGGGAACCAATACTGAGGTTGCATGAGGTGTGTCTACACACGGCTTGCTGACTGCTTGCCACCGACAAAACCCAACTGAGAGCTGCAGAGGGCGTCACACTAGGGACCCAAAACCCAGGGGACACCTTTGTCGCAAAACCCAACGGGCGCATCGCTTGAGACACAGACACAGCCCCCTACCGGGCCTGGCTCCCGCCCCGCAACGTACCTCAGAGGCCTCCTTAGCCTAGTTCCCGCCCTCACGGAGCCTTCTCACCTCTCGAAGTCTCTGCTGCCCCTGGGCGCTTGCTGGGGACCGCCCGGAGACCCTGGCCTGGGGAGAGACCGGGAAACTAGGGGCGAGGGGGCGAGGGGGCGAGAGGCCGAGCCCTTCCCTCGCCCTTAGGCGCGTCCCCACAAGCAGCGATTGGTGGGCGCCGCCGTCAGTTGAGCAGGACGGCTGGGACGCGATGCCTTCTGGGAGGCCAGGGGGCTTCACGCAGTGACGTCACGCCCGGTACCTCACTTCCGGTGCGGAAGCCTGGTCTCCCCGCTCGGAGCGAGTCGTCTTTGCTTGCGAAGGCGAAGCTCGAGGTATGTCGATTTTGCTAACAGTGCCGTGCGGAGACCAGGCTAGCGGCAGCCGCTCTCTTCGTAGTTCTGCATAGAAGACAGAAGGTAGGAGGCTGGCTCCAGTCCTCCATGACGGGCTGGCACCGCTCCAGGTGCGGGCTAGCACACTCCATGGCCTGCTGGGAAATGTAGTTTGGCTAAAAAAGCCAATGAGAAATCGCCTGGCTCAGTGGTTAGGGCGGGGCAGGACCAAGGCTGGGCCGGAAGCGGGCTGTGTCTGGGACCGGAAGATCTGCGCCAGTGCTGGGCAGTTTCCCTCAGAGCTTCCGGGGTGGGTGAAAGACTCCGGCGGCCAAGAAGATGGAGCTGGTGTAGGTTACGGGACGGTTCTGGCGTCCTCTCAGCTGTTTCTTCCGTTGGGGGGGACAGCCTGTAGGTCACAGCTCGGCTACCCTTCCCGTCCCCTGCTTTCCAACTTGTACTCTGAGGTCTGGACCTGCCATCTCATTTTCTAAGAGATCCTACTCACCTTTCTCCTATTGTCCCCATATCCGTTTCCAATTTCACCCACCAGCCACTCTTCGGAAGAAAGGTTGGGCAATCTACTGTGGAGATTGCGCCTTGGAAACCTAAGGAGAGGTGGCTATGAGTCGAATTGACTTGACAGCAGTGAGTTTGGGTTGTTATATTTTGGAAGGAGGGTTAAAAATGTCTTTTCCCTCTGCGGCATTCCTATAGAAGGTTTATATTCCAGTGAGGCACTGGTCAGGGTTGGGACACCTTGAGGGCAGTTATTTCCTTATTAATCTGTGCAACAGCAGATTCTAGCAGGGTGACAAAAATTAAAATGTAAATGAATACCTTTTCTTAACCCCACCTGTAGCAGGTTCACTTAACCATGACTTAAAATGTTTATAAAGAGACTGTTATCAAAACTGGCACCTACTTATAAGCTTATGAGCAGCCATCTAAGGTGCAACTATTGGTCTCTACCCATCTGGAGAAGAGTGAAGAAAACCAAAGTCCCAAGGACATAATTAGTCCAAAGGACTAATGGAGTGCATAAACCTCAGCCTCCAGGGCTGAGACCAGAACTAGATGGTGCCTGGCTCCCACTACTGATGGCTCTGAAAGAGGTCACAATAGGAGGTCCTGGATAGACTGAGGGGAAATGTAGCACAAAACTCACAATCATGAGAAAGCCCAAGCTTACTGGTCTGAATATTGACTGTGGAACCTCCAAGATTATGGCAGTTAGACACTCTTCAGGCTTCGAACTGAGCTTAACCCCCATCACTCAGCTCTTAGCCAAGCAATAGGTTTATATGGTGAACAGTAATATCAGGAGGGTATGCACTCATTAGACCAACCACACATACGAGATCAAGAGGACAGCATTTGCTCAGGGATAGGAAGGCAGGAGGGGATGGGAAGGGAGAATGAAGAGAGGGGTGAATGCTGTTAGAGTATAGGGACTGCAATAAATGTCACAAAACAATGTATATGAACTGCAGAATGGAAAACCAATTTGCTCTATAAACTTTCACCTAAATCACAATTTTAAAGCAAAAAAAAAACTGGCAATTACTAAAAACCTTGACTCAAAGCAGTACAGATTGAACTAAAAACAAAACCATGTCAAGTTCATTCCAATTCATGGTGATTCCATATAGTGTGTTATCCCATGTGTGTCAGAGAAGAACTGTGCTCCATAGAGTTTTTACAATGGCTTAGTTTTCAGACCAGAAGGCTGGTGGTTCAAACCCATCAGCCACTCCTCAGAAGGAAGATTGGGCAATCTGCTTCTGTAGATAACCACCTCAGAAGCCCAAGGAGTGGTTGCTGTGAGTCGAATTGACTTGACGGCAGTGAATTTTTTTTTTTGTTTGTTGTTTTATTTTTCAAAAGTAGATCACCAGTCACTTCTTTCCAGGCACTTCTGAGTGGACTCATTCTAACCTTTAAGTTTGCAGAAGGCCCGTTAGCATTCTGCACCACCTGGGGACTCTGTGGATTGGACTGTTATATTTAGCTGCTGTCCAGTTAAATTTGACTCATAACAAACCAATGTGACAAAATAAAAATGCCCCATATGCTTTCTAGGCTGTAATCTTTCCAAGAGCAGATTTCCTAGTTTCTCCAACAGAACCGCTGGGTGGGTTTTAATCACTAACCTTTTGGTTACCACCCAAGCACTTAACTGTTGTGCTAGCAACTCTATAGATTTGATAAGAGTAGACGAATATATCAAGAACAACAATAAAAATACAAAAATTTACCTAAATAGGCTAAATGATCAGTATGTCTAGGCAAAAGGGAATATACCCATAACCATATATAAGGTGGAATGCGTCCTGGAAGAGAGAATGGCCACACTTTGTCTCACCTACTTTGGTCATGTTGTCATAAGCGACCATTCCCTCGAGAAGGGTATCATGCTTGGTAAAATGAAGGGTCAACGAAGAAGGGGAAGTGCTTCTATGAGATGGATTGACACAGGGGCTGCAATGATGGGCTCAGGTATAGCCAGGATTGTGAAGCTGGTATAGGACTTGGCAGTGTTTCATTCTGTACATAGGGTCGCTATGAGTCAGAAACAACAACAACATATGTAAGACTGGCAGATGATACTTCTACATATATATTTGTATGTCCTCTAAGAATGTCCCAATATGTAATAGAGCTAAAAAAGTAGTAAAGATATGATAACTTCTTAGGTACATACAGCCAGCCAGCCTGAGGGAGTGTGTAGTTGGACATATGGGCTCAGGACTATGGTCACAGGGGACATTAAGTTCAATTGGCATTACATACTACACAAAAATATTGTTCTACATCCTACTTTGGTGAGTAGCGACTGGGATCTTAAAAGCTTACAAGCAGCCATCTAGAGGCAACAATGGGTCTCTCCTCATCCAGAGCAAAGAAGAATGAAGCAAACCAAAGACACATGGAAACAATTGGTCCAAGGGATTAGTAGACCATGCGACCCTCAGCCTGTATGACTATGAGACCAGAAGAACTAGATCATGCCTGGCTACCACTGTCAACCACTCTCAGGAGGATCAGTGCAGAAAATCCTGGATAGAGTGGGAGAACAATGTGGAACAAAACGCAAAATTATAAAAAAAAGAGACCAGGTTTACTGGTCTGATAGAGCCTAGTGAGACCCCCAGTTCACCCTAGTTACCCTTCAGGTCTGGAATTGAGCTCATTCCTGTGGCATCCAGTCAAATAATAGGCAGGCATATAGGGTGAGCATTTACATCAGATACATACATGCCTTAAAACAGTAAATCATGGGAGAAGAGAAGGGCAGTGTTTGCACAGGGAGATAGCTAAGGGGGCGGGAGTGCATAGGAAAGAAGGGCACAGGGAAGAGGTAAATGCAGGGGGAATGTTGAAAGAGAGCTATCTATCACTTTGTGGGGGAATTGCACTTAGTGTCATGAAACAAAATGTGTATGAACTGCTGTATGGAAATGAATTTGCTCTGTAAACTTTCACCCAAATCACAATGAAAATTTTTAAAATAGTCTTTTAAAAGATTTTTTTACCTAAATATACGTGAACCTATATGAAAGAGCAGCATTCCAATTTAGTGCTAGCAAAAATTCTTTTCCGAGGGGAAAAAAAGACCTCTTTCCTTACACCACACACAAAAATGAAATTTAATAAACAACAGATAAGAGAACATTAACTTTGAGGCAAAACAGGGAACTAAGATACCTTATGGTAAAATATAAACCTGTGTGACTACATTCAGAAAACTGTTTAATAGTGTGAACATAGTCAAACAAATAAAAGACTAGAAAATAATTTTAAAACAAACCAGATAAGGAATTAAATATTCCCAGTATAAAGAGCTCCTGCCAACTGAAAAGCACAGCCCCCCACAGGAGGAAAATTAAATGGTCATTAATATTTGAAAAGATACTTAGCCACACTATTAGTGAAGATGATCACATTAAAAAGGGACATTTTTCACCTATCAAGCAATGAAGAGAAAATATCCACTCTCGTTGCTAGTAAAGTGTGACATGTGAGGAGTCATTTGGTGATATATATTAAAAGCGTACGCACCCCTTTGATCTCACAATCTCACCTGGGACTCTGTTGTTGTTGTTAGGTGGTGGTGAGTTGATTCCAACTTATTCCAACACTATGTAAAACAGAACCAAACCTTGGCTGGTCCTGGGCCATCCTCATAGTTATTGCTATGTTTGAGGCTACTGTCGCAGCCACTATGTCAATCCATCTTGTTTAGGGTCTTCCTCTTTTTCATGAGGTCCTTCTTCATAGACTGGTTCCTCCTGATAACGTGTCCAAAGTGAGATGAAGTCTGCCATCTTGGTTTCTAAGGAGCATTCTGTCTTCTTCCAAGACAGATTTGTTTGTTTTTTGGCAGTCCATGGTGTATTTAATATCCTTCATCAACACCAAAAGTCAAATACATCAGTTTTCCTTTGGTCTTCCTTATTCACTGTGCAGCATTGGCACGCATGAGGCATTTGAACACACCACAGCTAGGGCCAGGTGAACTTCAGTCCCCCACTCGTCTGTCAGTCTGTCCTGTGGTGGTTTGCATGTTGCTGTGAGGCTGGAAGCTATGCCACCAGTATTTCAAATACCAGCAGAGTCACCCATGGTAGACGTATTTCAACAGAGCTTCCAGACTAATACAGCCTAGGAAGAAGTCTACTTCTGGAAAAATAAGCCTTACAAATTGCAGCAGAATGTTGTCTGATAGAGTACAAAGATGAGCCCCTGGGAATCTAGTCTCTAGAAACTAGACCATTTATCTATAATGACCATGAACAAAGCTTTTCTTGTAGAATACTTTGTAATGGTGACAACTGGAAACAACATGAATGTTCATCAGAAAAGAAATGGTTAATTAATTTGGAATATTAACACTGGAATCCATTCTAGAATATTACATAGCTATTAAGAAGAATGGGAGCTCTGGTAGCATAGTGGCTAAGGCACTTGACTGTTCACCAGATGGCTGGGGGTTCAAACCCATCAGCCACTCCTCGGAAGGAAGGTTGGGCAATCCTACTTCCGTAGTGATACTGCCTCGGAAACCCAAGGAGGGGTCGCTATGAGTCAGGGCTGACTCGACGGCACATAACAACAACAACAATTAAGAAGAATGGGTTAGAATTATAGGTATATCTGGAGAGAAGGCCATAAAATATTAAATGGGAAAAGCTCACAGTTATGTACATAGCACATAATTATATTTTCAGAACACACAGAAAACACTAGGCACATCTGTATGTTTGTACGGAGAGAGATACATGCCAGACTATCAAAATGGTTATGCTCAGGGAAAACAGGGTTGGAAAAACCAAACTCACTGCCATCGAGTCGATTGTGACTCAGCGACCCTCTTTGGGTTTCCAAAGTGATAAATCTTTACAGAAGTAGATTGCCCAGTCTTCCTTCCATGGAGTGGCTGGTGGATGTGAACTGCCAACCTTCTAGTTAGCAGTCAGATGCCTTAGGCACTACGCCACCAGAGCTCCTTAGAGGGATAAAAGGGAAATTAAATATTTTTAGATTGTGTCACTTCATTTAATAAGCAAGTATCAACGTTGTAACTAAAAAATAATAATATAAAAAGGATAAAATGATAAGGATTTTTTAAAAAACTTGATGGCATCTTGTTTTAAAAAACTGATCAGTAAAATAAATAACACAACTAGACTTGAAATAGTACCAGATCCTAATCTAAGGGTGTAAACAGACAACGGATAGATCGACAAAAAGCCTTTAACATGAAAAAGTAACTGTCACATAAAATTAAAGAGATGCAATTTAAAATAATAAAACACAAGAATTACTGTTGCTAGGTAACATCAAGAAGGCTCCGAATCATAGCAACCCTGTACAACAGAACAAAGCACTGCCCAGCCCTCTGCCATCCTCACAGTGTTTGTTATGTTTGAGTCCATCGTTGCAGCCACTGTTTCAATCCATCTCGTTCAGGGTCTTCCCCTTACTTGCTCACACTTTGCCAAGCACGATGTCCTTTTCCAAGGGCTGGTCCCTTCTGCCAACATGACCAAAGTACATGAGACCAAGTCTGGCTATTCCTGCTACTAAGGAGCATTCCAGCTGCACTTCTGAGATAGGTTTGTTCGTTCTCCTGACATCCACGGTATTTTCAGTATTCTTTACCAACACCACAATTCAAATGCATTGATTCGTCAGTCTTCCATATTCATTGTCCAGCTTTCACATGCAATGATGTGATTGAAAATAACATGGCTTGGGTCAGGCTCACTTTCATCTTTAAAGTGGTATCTTTGTTCTTTAACACTTTAAAGAAGTATTTCGCAGCAGATTGACCCAGTGCGATACATCGTCTGATTTCATGACTGTTTCTTCCATGGGTCATGATTATGGATCCAAGTAAAATGAAATACCTGACAACTTCAATCTTTTCTCCATTTATCACCATGTTGCTTATTGGTCTAGTAGTGAGGGTTTTTGTTTCTTTATCGTGAGGTGTAATCCATACTGAAGGCTGTAATCTTTGATCTTCATCATTAAGGGTTTCCAGTCATCTTCACTTTCAGCAAGCAAGGTTGTGTCATCTGCGTAACGCAGTTAAGGAGTCTTCCTCCAATTCTGATGCCACGTTCTTCTTCATATAGTCCAGCTTCTCAGATTATTTGCTCAGCCAAGTTAAAACACACTATGCTAAAAGAGCCAGTCACATAATTTTTGGTGAAAACCCCACCACTATGACCCCTAGTCACCCTTAGGGCCTGGAATTGAACTCAACCCTGTGGTTTAACTGCCACAATAAACAAGTCTATGAGCTGAACAACTGCACCAGGTAAGTACACTCCTTAGAACAACCATGTGGGATCAGAAGGGCACTATTTGCACAGAGAGACAGCTTTGGGGGCAAGAACGCATAGGAAAGAACACAAGAAAAAGGTAACCACAGGGAAGAAGTAGGAAGAGAGCTATTACATTATGGGGATTGCAATCAATGTCATGAAGCAAAATGTGTATAAACTGTTGAATGGAAAACCAATTTGCTCTGTAAACTTTCACCCAAATCACAATGAAATAAATAGTAAAATAAATAAAAGACCACTCATTTTACAATCTCATTTGTATGAAACGTCCAGAAGAGGCAAATCCATAAAGAAAGAAGATAGGTTAGTGGTAGTCAGGAGCTGGGGCAATGGGAAATGGGGAATGAGTGGTGATGGGCTTGGGGTTTCTTTGTGGGGTGATGACAATGCTTTATAATCAGATACTGGGGATGTTCGCACATCTTGTGAAGGTACCAGAAGCCACTGGATTCTACATGTTCAAATAGTGACCTGTATGGTATGTGAATTACATCTCCATTTAAAAAAAAAACACACACACACACACACACACGGGCGATTTCATCAGGCAGATGAGAACGTTTATGATCTAAGACATTTACGTAGAAATTCTGCAAACTGAGTTCAATGACTACGTCCCACACAGCAAGCAAAGGAAAAGCACCATTTCTATAGAATAAAGCAAAAAGCAAAAACCCACAAGGACAAATTCATGGTCTTCCTAGTAGGCAATGCAATAACCTAAAACAGTGGTAAGGCCCATCACGTCCTTGTTAAATCAGCCAAAAATTAACAATGACAAACATTCTTTGGACGTGAAGTGTTTTTAATCTTCCCAAAGGATAGTACGGTGAACGACAGCTAGTGTTATCAAATGGGCCACACTAAGGAACCATTTAGAAATAACACATGAGGAATAAAATACACGTGTAGGGGGGTTGTGGAAAATAGAGACAACACTGTCGTGGACAGGTCATAGCATGGGAGAACTAGAAGTAACTAATCGCTGACAGTAGGGAGTTAGGCAGATGGGGGCATGTGAACCATGTTGGCTAGTGCACTACATCGATGGAATAATGCTCCAAGGGAAGGCAAACATGCTTGCTCACTCTGGTCACAACAACTGAGAACCCACCACTGACCTAAGACTCCAGTGTGAAGACGGAGTGAGGAGATGGGGATACGAGGAGCTGGGAGTTTGATCTTCATTTGATTCCTTCTTTGTGGTGTTACTCCCCCTTCTGTTTCCATTCTTTCTCTTTAAATGGAGTACGAGAGTGGGGACCGGCGTGAAATGCAACACTCATCATTCCACAGGCCCCCCAGATTATCCAATACTGAACAGGACAGAATAATGCTTCTATTGTAATTTGCCCACCATAGCATCCCCATCTCTTCCAGGATATTCAACATGGGAAATAGGATCCCACAGCAACTGGATGTCAATGAATGCAATTAGGACCAAATTTCCTAATGGATTTATTCATGAGGCTTAGCCAATACTCCTAAGAATCAGAGTTTATTCATCCAAGTATAAAAATCCTTTTGTAAACAATCCAGTATGCTTGGGTTTGCTCCACGCTTCCTGTCCTCTTGACAGGGAAGGACAGGCTAAGGAGACACAACTGGAGGGAAATCAAGGGCAGACTCTCCTGTCTCAGGAGCAGTGGAAGGTGCTAACTCATGTTCAGTGTTAATTAGGCAAGAGTCATGCACTTCTCCTTTGAAATGCACTGTACATCATTGGTGCCTGGGGTTTACCAGTATTCGTGCATCTAGCTCACCTCTGCCACTACTACGTAGGGTCCTTGGGCACAGGGACTGTTTCCTTATTCATTATAACCCCTGGAGCACATGGCACCCAGTGGGTGTCCAATCATGACTGCTGAGTGCATGAATGCAAGATCCAAGGCAGAGTACTCCAAGAAAGATGCAACGTGTTGGATATTCAGTGGGGTTCCTGAGCACGCACTACACAGATGGTCAGAGGGTCCGCGTTCTTTCCGCCATCGTCTTTCCCAGGGCTAAAGATAGGCTGAAGGGGCTCTGAGGGTGAGCAGCAGGTAAATGTGTACATGTGGGACTTGGCTGTCACGTTGTAAAAGGAAATGTCTCCAGCCTCATAGTCCAGGAAGATGCCCACTCGCCGCGGTGGGTTCTTCACCCACAGGCGGGTCGGGGGGAAGGTGCAGGCCTGGTACTCGTTGCGCATGGTCATCATCACCACCCAGTAGCCGTTCTCGGGTGACAGAGTCATGCTGCCCTTCCTGCTCATGGAGACTTTGCACACTCCCAGGACCCAGGCTGTCTTGTCTCCCACCTCCACTTCCCAGTACTGGCGGCCAGAGCAGAAAGTCGGAGAGCCCAGGGCCAGGATGCAGCTGTCAAACGTTTCCGGGCCTTCGGGCAGCCGGTCACCCTTCTTTCCAAGCCTCACGCTCTTCAGATCATTCGAGAAGGTAAGGTTGGGATGAGCAGTTTCTGCATCCAGGACCACATCAACTGCAGAGAGAGTCACCATATCCAGCCGGGAGTCCACGGGCAGCATCCCCGGGCCCCCCACCTCCAGGAAACCACAGGGGAGAACACAGGGACCCAGCAGGCCCAGGCCACTCGCCTTGGCCTGGTCACTTACCTGCATGGGCCTGGACAGCTAATAGCTCTGGAGCTACAGAGAAAACGGAAATGGGAAAGCATCCTCAGCATTCTCAGAGGGGCTAACCCCACCCTACGGAGCCCTGGTGGCACAGCAGTAAAGCGACTCGCTGCTAAACCAAAGACTGGCAGTTCGAACCCACCCAGGAGCTTCACAGGAGAGAGATCTGGCACTCATAAAAATTACTGCCAAGAAAACTCTACTGGGATGGTCCTACTCTGTCACATGACATCACTGTAAGTCAAAAATTGACTCTACAGCACCTACCAACCACAGATTTACCCTGGTCTCCACAACAAGGAGAGACAACATGGGCACAACCCGCTGCCCATGAGGGTGTAATCCTGCTCCTCTCAGACACCTGCATATGCCTCACAGACTCCGCTGGTCCAATGAGTTGACCCAGTGAGGGTCAGGCACAGGGCCCGGAAGGACCTCCCATGGCCTCTCTCCTGTCTCTGCTCTGGGTGCTGCTCTCTCTTTTCAGCATAAGGGGCTGTTGCACTGAGCTGGTCAGCACCCCCTACAACCACCATGCTCACCAATGAACGCTTCCATTCCCGAACGCAGGCTTTCTAAAGGGAGAGAAGGGAACACAGAAGCCCTGATTAGGCCCTCAGGTAGGGATGATCAGGGAGGGGCTGAAGGCAGCATCAGGAGGGGGCTCTGGGCTGTGTGGGCCTCAGGATGGCTGTGAGCGGAGCCGTCATCTCCCCCAGCCCACCTACCTGAGAAACGCTTTATGCTCTTCTCTATAAACTCCGACTTAGAGTAGAACAGATGCATCTTCTCCTTCACCTCTGAAGGGGTGACCCATGGCTCCGGGATGGTCACCATCTTGGCTCTGGAAACAAGAGACGGTTGGCCAGGGACACCTGGAGTGTGGCCAAGCCCCACGATCTGGGTGCTTGGAGCTTCTGTGGGCTCCCAGGACTCCGAGTTACACACTGACCCCCCTGACCAGCTACAGGTTGGGATCTGCTGGGGGGTTTTGAGCCCCTGCTGCCTGGGTCCCACCCCCGGAGACTCTCTTTCACTGGTGTGTGTGGCCTGGCTGTGGGATTTTGCAAAGCTCTCAGGCGACTGTATCAATTCAGAGAACCGTTTTTCTGAGGCCTCCTCTCTCCTTCCCTCTGCTGCTGCCAGCCAGGCTGAGTCTGGCCCCTCTGCACTGGCTTCCTTAGAAGGAGAGGTAGACACTCCTGGAACGTATGTCCTCCCCTGAGGTCACAGCGCTCCTGCCCACAGCTTTCAGGAGGTGAACGGCCTGGGCAGCACCACCTCATCACAGCCCCACAGCCTGGCTTCATCTTCCCAACCAACCCCACGGCTCCCCACTGACTGGGCTCCCCGTCGCCCACACGACTCGCCAAGGGCCTGAGGAAGCTGCAGGAGCCTCTCCCTCCTAGGACAGTTCCCCCAAATGCAGGACACGCAGGGCATACCACAGGACCTCTCCGTACCTGTGCAGGGTGACGCCGATGTCCTAGGAGAGACAAGTTGGAAGCACTCTGTTACCAGCCTCCCGGCAGCTCTGCGGACCCCGACCGCTCCTGCTGGTTGGCAGGCTGCTCCCTGCCCCCTCCCGGGGCCCACACCTCTCTCTAATTCTAACAACCAAATTGACAGCCTGGCCATATCCTGCAATGAAACTGTCCCCAAACCCCACTAATTTCTTCTGGAAGATGCCAGGGGTCCCTACCCCCACCCCCAGTTCACCTAAGGGGTCTGGGCATGAGAAGCAGTGAGTGTCACCAAGATGAAAGTCACCTCAGCCTCAAAGGCCCAGCTCACTAGCTTGGCCAGAGCCAGACAGCAGTGTGGAGCCCTGTGGCATCCTGAAAGGACAATGGCAGAGTGCCAGGAAGGCTGTTCACACGCACCTGCATGAGCTCCCACACCGACTGGCACTGCTTGGCCTCCAGCTCCCCGATAAGCTCATTGAGAACAGTGATGTCCTGGGACACCCGGCGGCCGTACTTGTCCCCAACCTGGTGAATGGTCTGGCCCAGGTCTTCCAGCCAGGCCACAAACAGCTGTTCCTGTTTCTCCAGGAAGTGGCACAACTGTCGCATCTGACACCGGACCTTCTGCTTCTGGGCTTCTATCTGTTTCTGGGGGCCGGGCAACAGGGAGGGGAAGGGGTTTGGGCTGTGGGGCGAACATGTGTGTCCACGGAGTCCCCACAAGCTCAACTCCTGGGGGTGGGAAGAGGCAGGCTTCCTCAGCCTCGTGGATGTCTGGATTGCAGAGCAGGGCCAGAGAATCTGGAACCTCCCTAGACAGTCTGAGCATTAGTGGGGACTGGCTCTTGGAAAAAGGTCTCAAACCTGGTGTCACCTCCATCCTTTCCCAATGGCCAGTGTGACACTGGCCCAGGCCCTGGGGACAGAAACGGTCAAGGCTGTGACCCCACCTGGGCACTCCTGCAGGGAGACTTCCCTGCACCCTCAGAGGGCGGGCACGTCTCTGGGAAGGTCCTGGATGAAGAGCTTCTGAATGGGGCCAATCAGTCCATGTGTGTGTAGGTGAACTTGACCTCCATCACCTATCTACACTGGGCAATCAACAGCTCTGCTGTTGCCCCTTTTCTCACTTCTTCAGAGAGGTGAGTGGGCCCAGGGCACCTTTTCCTTCCACCTTTGGCTCCACTAAGACCTTCCGAAAAAGTCTTAAGAACATCATCTCTTTTCATAAGGGCCTTTGTCATTACGAGTGTCTTCATGGAAGGCTGGACTCTCTTGCTTCCCTGGGTTTCCTGAAGCAGCCCAGCTCCTGCTTTTCTCTCTATGGGGCATCCGTGACCTCTGCTCCATCCACAAGTTCCTGTCCAGTCTTCTGGACAAGAACAATTCAGGAGTTTCCAGGAAGTCAGCTCTGACCCAGAGGGATGGTTCCTACTCCCATTCTGCCCTTTGTAGCCTTTGTCTATTACTGTGGTAGTTAAGGTTGTGTGTCACCTTGGCCGGGCCTGGTTGAGTGGCTGGGCAGATGGATGCAGTTATTTCTCCCGTGATGAGACTGGTCATCAACTCCAAGGTGGAATCTGCTGGAGCAGCTGAGTAGCTGCCTTGGGGATGTGGTCGGCTTCCAGTCTATAAGGAGACAGCTTTGAGAAAACTCTCGAAGTTTTTTGGCATGCTTGGACCCTGCATGTAACCAACTGACTCTTCATTCAGCACCCTGCCATGTTTCCTGCCAATCTTAGACTATCTCTGGACTTGAACTAGTGGCCTGCCACGTTGTTTGGTCATCTTGGGACCACACCATTTTATTTTTTGACTTTGGGTTTGTCAGCCTCAGTAGCCAACAGGTGAGTGAGTGAAGAGATGCCTCTAGCTTCAGTGGGCCAGGGGCAAGAGGCAGAGCTGAAACCCAAAGTTTAAGGGCTTTTACCCAGCCCCTAGTGTTGGCACTTTTAACTCAGACTTCTAGCCTCCTAAACTCTAAGAGAATAAATCCCTGTTTGTTCAAAGTCACCCATTTGTGGTATGTTTCTGTTAAGTGCACACTAGAGAATGAAAACAATTACCCATTGAGCTGTGGTGGGTACAGACTTGCCAGAAGTTTGGGCCCCAGAGAGGGAGATGGGATCTAACCAACTAAGTGCCATAGACAAACCACAGCTGGGGGTAGAGGGCCTACAGGGATAGGTACTGCCACTTCCAGGGAAAATGGAAGGAACTTAACAGCATAAAAGGGTCAGGCTTGTGGTGCCCAAGAGGCTGGCTGGATACCAGCTCAAGAGAAGAAAGCAAATAAGGAGTATTTACTGCAGTTTGTGGCACTGCAGAACCATACTTTTAAAGGAAATGATATTTTAATCATTTGAATTTTTAAAATAAATGGTTTTTTTTTTTTTTTTTTGTAAATGAAAGACAACAATACAATCTTGAAAGTAATACCAAAAACAAAAAAAGAAAAACCCACAGCCATTGAGTTCATTCCAACTCACAGTGACCCTTTAGGACAGAGGAGAACCGCCCTGTAGAGCTTCCAAGGCTGTCAATCTTTACAGAAGTAGATTGCCTCATCTTTCTCCCACAGAACAGCTGGTGGGTTGAACTGCTGACCTTTTGGTTTGCAGCCAAATGCTTTAATCAGAGCATTTGCACCACCAGAGCTCCTGGAAAACAGTGTTGCTGTTGTTAGATGCCACTGAGTCAGCTCCAACTCAGTGTCCCGTGTACAACAGAACGAAACACTGCCTGGTCCTGTGCCATCCGCACAATGTTTGCTACGCTTGAGCCCACTGCTGCAGCCACTGGGTCCATTTCATTGTGGGAGTCATGTGACCCTCCACATTACCAAGCATGATATCCTTCTCCAGAGACTGGTACCCTCTGACAACATGACCAAAGTACGTGAGACAAAGTCTGGCCATTCTCTCCTCTAAGGAGTATTCTGGCTATACTTCTCCCAAGACAGATTCTTCATTCTTCTGGCAGTCCATGGTATTTTCAGTGTTCACCAACACGATAATTCAAAGGCATCAACTCTTCTGTCTTCCATATTCATTGTCCAGCTTTTACATGCACAAGAGACTACTGAAAATCCATGACTTGGGTCAGATGCACCTTGGTCTTCAAAGTGGTACCTCTGTTCTTTAACACTTGTGATAGTTGGAGCTGTGTGTCAACTTGGCTGGACCATAATTCTGCGTGGTTTAAGCAATTGTAATGTGGGTTGTTCCAATGATGGGATCAGATGTACATGTTTTGAGCAGCCAATCCGTTGAAAGGGAGTTTCCCTAGGGGTGTGGCCTGCTTCCAGTATATTTATGGACATCCTGGGAAAAGAGACACTCTTCTGTGGATTGGGATTCTGTTGTGCTGCCTACAACTGTCTGTGAGTGAACAATCCACCATTCGGCCTGGAGATCTTGGATTCATCATTCATTGGAGTCAACAGCCAGTATACTGCCTGCCAACGTGGAGCTTGTGAGGCCCTGCCGGAGCACGAGTCAGGAAAAGCCTCAGCTTGACGTTTGATATAAGAACCTGGGACTTGCCAGCTTCTTTAAGTATGTGAACCATTTTTCTTAAGATAAATTTCTCTTTCTCTCTCTCTATATATGCTTTACTAGTTTTGCTTTTCTAGAGAACCCAGTTTAACACATTTGGTACCGGGAGTGGTTCTAGAGAGACAAAATCATAGATTAGTTCTCCAATTTAATTAATTGTAAAGGCACTGGTGACCCTGCCTCCGTTAGTAAAGACGGCCCTGCTAATCGGTGGCACGAGGTGGCAACATTAATATGCAAAATAGCACCACTAATAGATCAAGTACTTGTGAGAAGTGAGGCCCTGGGTGATCACATATTTGATACTTTCTTGCAATTCTGTCCTCATGAGGAGTATAAGGAAGTTGGTTGGTTGGTTGGTCCTACTTACACTAGACAAAGTGGTGAAAGAGCGAGATGAGCTCAGGGCTGCTGAGTCACAGCTTAAGCCCCACATAAAAGACCTCAATGTTTCCAGTTGTGCTCTGAAATAAAGCCTTATTTCTTCTAGTAACAGAGCTGATATTGTTGAAAACCAAACCCAGAGTCTTATTGTAAGGGTGGCTGAATTACAACACCAATTAAACTGCCAACCCAGAATGGTGTCTGAAGTAAAAGTGAGGGTATTCATTGGGAAAAATGAGATCCTGAAACCTGGAGTGGGGACATATGGGCAGACAGGAAGATCAGGATATGGAGCCTGTAAATGCTGTTGAATCCCTCCCATCTGAAGGGATTACTGTAAACCCATTACCCCTCCACCTCAGTTTGATGGGATTAACCCAAGGTGAAATATAAAGGGTGACTGAGGAGGCGGTTAGGCGGCACCCAAAAAGACCTACTTGATTTTGCTAACATGTACAGACAGAAACCTGGAGAACATGTATGGGAATGACTACTGAGGGTGTGTGATAATGGTGCAAGGAATGGAACATTGGATCAGTCTGAGTTCATTGATTTAGGCCCACTAAGTACAGATTCTTCACTCAGTGTTTTAGCTGGAGAGGTTAGGAAAGGATCTAATAGTTTTGTGGTTGGCTTACTGAAGCATGGATTATGCGGTGGCCTACCTTAAGTCAAGGTGAAGTACCAGACCTGCCTTGGTATAATGTAGAAGAAAGTATCCAGAGGCTTAGGGAAATTGGCCTGTTAGAATGGATTTATCAGATTAGACCCCCAGAGCCAGAAATGGAGAGTCCAGAAGACACGCCTTTCACCAGTATGTTGTTGTTGTTGTTATGTGCCGTCAAGTCAAACCCGACTCATAGCGACCCCTCCTCGGGTTTCCGAGGCAGTATCACTACGCAAGTAGGATTGCCCAACCTTCCTTCCGAGGAGTGGCTGGTGGGTTTGAACCGCCAGCCGTCTGGTTAGCAGGCAAGTGTCTTAGCCACTATGCTACCAGAGCTCCCATTGCGAGGACAAATCTGTGAAGGGAGCTCCAGCATTCTTGAAGACTGCTGTGATTGCTATTTTATGTAAGCTGGTATGAAAGTGGGAACTGCCCTAATTGAACTAAGACACTAAACTACAAGGGGCTGATTGGACCCCGTGGTAGTAGGGGTCAAGTGGTAGCAGTTAATCGGCAAAGGCAAGGTGGGTGTGGTTACCATAATCGACAGCAGAGTCAGAACAGTAATCAGAATATTCTGACTCGTGTGGAATTATGGCATTGGCTACTTGCCCATGGTGTTCCTAGTAGTGAAATACAGAGCAAGCCTACTAAATATTTACTTGATTTGTATAGACAGAGGAATTCTAGGTCACATGAACAGCAGCCTAGACTGAATCGCCAGAATACAGAGTCACAGTCTCTCAATCAATTCCCAGACTTGAGTCAGTTTACAGACCCACAATCCTTTGAATGAAGGGGAGGGTGGGTCCCTTTGAGGAAGAACCCCACCACATTGCCAAAAGTTTATAATGTCAATCTTTCTCCCAACCTTCCCCAAAGGGATCTGAGGCCTTTTACGAGTGACTGTTCATTAAGAAAAGGAAATAATCAGACTTTTGGGGGATTACTGTATACTGGCTATGAACTGACACTAATTCCAGGAGACCCAAAGCATCATTGTGGCCCACTAGTCAGAGTGTGGAGGTCAAGTTATTGAT